TGTTGTTTATTTATTTGTTGTTTATTTATTTGTTGTTTATTTATTTGTTGTTTATTTATTTGTTGTTTATTTATTTGCTGTTTATTTATTTGTCACAAACAGATCGATAATAATATAGGCTACACAGCCGTGGACAAGACATGACTCGGACCCCACTTTGCATCACGATTTTCATCATCCTCAGCGTGAACGTCGTCACCACTTCTGTAAAAACAAAAATAATGTCGATCCCTTGTGGAGCTACTCTTAAAAAACTTAAAACACTTACACTGATACTCATTTCTTTCATTTGTTTAAAGGGGTATTATTATCTATCTGTTTGAGACAAATAAATAAACTCCAAATAAATAAACAATAAATAATAAACCATGTATGTCTTTTCGGGTCATTTAGTGTTTTTTCGTGTCTTCTCGGCGGTCTTTTCGGCGGTCTTTTCGGGTCTTTTTCGGCGGTCTTTTCGGGTCTTCTCGGGTCTTTTCGGGTCTTTTCGGGTCTTCTCGGTAAAAGTAAGTACCGGTTCTGAGGCGACGATACATTTCAACAACAAAATTATAATACAACGATTCTTCCACCACCAGCACACTCCAAATACACACATTCCCCTCACAACAATAGACTGGGGTTTCACTCCTGTAACCCTCGCCAGCTGCACTCAGGAACCTGTGCCAAGCTCAGCCTGAACATTCCGCAGGTATAATCCTATCCTATCTAGCCGATTAACCCCACCTACCACCACGAACCCAACTTGCTACAACCGGCCCCCCCCCCCCTCTCTCTTTCTCCTTCATTCTTTGTATTTCTTTCTTTCTTTACCCCTGCCCCCCCCCTCACACCGTCTTCATGTATCTATAGCTATCTAATTATTTTCCTGACAACATTGTGTTTACTTGTGGGTATTTGTTTGCCTCATAATACTCCTATCCTATTTCCCCCAGCTTCATCCTCTCTATGTTCTCATATCTTTTTTTTTCAAGATTCCCCCATCAAATGTTTCTCGTTCATTCAGCCCAAGGACTTGATAAGACAAACTTCATTGGCTCTCAAAACATCTAGAAATAGTCTCCAGATAGCTTTCGTTATCCAAATATGTGTCAACAATAAAGTCCCCATTCAAATGTTTGTTCCACCAAGACTTCTACGATCAGGAGATCAGTCTTTCTTGAGAACACCTAGAAAGAGAGGTCTAAATCTGTCTGGGAGGTCCTTTTTCTCATCTAGCCCTTTCAATCTGGAACTCTGTCCCACAACACTTGAGGGATGCGAAGTTGGAGGCAAATTTTAAATCTTGATTGTTTAGTCCTTCTTGTTCATAGCCCTCTTATGTTCAAAATGTGACGTGCATTATGTCGTAATTGATTGTGCTGTGAAAGCCTGAAAGTCTGCTTATGTGTTACAGTTATTATTCTAAAGAGTGTATGTATGCATGGCCATTCGCTACAATTTTTGGGGGTGAAAATTAAGACAGTATAGAGCATATTTTAGAGCTCTATTGTACAATGGAAAACCTTATAGAAATTATGTATTATTATTATTATTATTATTATTTATTATTGTTATTATTATTATTATTATTATTATTATTATTATTATTATTATTGTTATTATTATTATTATTATTATTACCATCCATCATCATCATCACAATAATCATCAATATCATAATAATCTTCATTATTATCAAAAGTTGTAGCACAGTTTTTATTATGATCATTTTTATTTTCATTACTTAAGACAAAATAAGAAAGGATACGACAAAATAAAATAATTGATCCTCCCGAGGAGCAAAGACATAAATACATGTATGATTTCCTTTCCAGGTGTGGTGAACAGTTTCCTTTCTTGGGGTGCCTGGATTCCGCTGTCCCGACTCACATTCGGCACCTACCTGTCGCACGTGATGGTCATGCATTATTTCAACAACAACGCGAGGAGCTTGGCTTATGTTACAGCCAATTACATGGTGAGGACACCTCCATTCCCTCTTTGTCTGTCTTTCTTTTTGTCTTTTTTTCTGTCTTTCTTGTTGTTTTGCTGTCTTTATCGCTGTCATGCTGACTGTCTTACGGTCTTGCTGCGTTTCTTTTTTCTTTCGTTCTCTTTTCTGTCTTTCTTTCTTTTTCGTTTGTTTTTTCGACTTTTCGTATGTTTTAATAGTTTCCATTAAGGTTTAAAAAAACCGCAACAATGAAACTTCAAACCATAAAAGATTAAAAAAGAATAAAACGGTTAATAAGCATTTAAACCAGTAATGTACTTGAAGACTTTGTTAATTTTGGAGTGCTGATCACGAAAGGATATTATAATTTTCATCAGAAATTAACATTAGAATTTTTAAAAGCTCCATCTGCGATACGACCGATGAATCGCCACACCTCCCAACTAAGAATTAAAAATGCAGCATACGGCATTCAAACAGACCCGTCTGATGTAGGGAGGAGTTGTGTCGCTATGGTGGATATATCCACAGGATTTCTCACCGATTTTTAAGTTAAAAACTCGGGCTTCATTTTAACCACCGACATCCCGAAAGACGGACGGCTGTTGGGCGAGCGGTGTCTGGTTTGATGGACACGCGGGCTTAAATTGCACTTGGATAACGTGGCATTTTTGACCCTCAGATTTCTTTTTAAGCAAATATACAACGTCGCTTTCTTATTTCCCCAGGTTGAGCGTTACCTGGCAGTGTTTGTCCTGTCGTACGCCATCTCTTTTGTCCTGTCCATGCTTATCGAAACTCCGGTCCGCAACCTCATAAAACCGGCGAAAAAATCACCAGCCCCAAATGTGGAGGGAAAGAAAAACCAGCCAAATTCAAACACATTTGAACCCGTTCTTTCAACAATAACCACTGAATCGGGAGACTGCCAAAATCTGAAACTTTCCAAACCGGCAGTATTCAGCATTCAAAACGACTACACATCATTTCTGGGCACTGGCGCCAAATCTGGTAACGACGAGGACTCTGCCTTGTCGTCTTCCGTTCGAAGCTCGGAACCATCTCAGCGGGGCGCTCTTACCGACACAGAAAGCGGCCATCATTACTATTCGGATCTGTCGAGGAGTACGAGCTCCAGTGAGATGTCTGAAGGGTACCCAGCCTTGGAGGAAAGTCGGGTAACTTTCAGTGATGATCCCAGTCGGGAGGCTAATGGTAGCCTCCAAAAGGTTTCCAACACCCCTCAAACCGGATCGGACCCGGAACAGAGTCGCCCGACTTTGAACGGTGAGCCGGAACATGGCGAGATAAAAACAGGGGAAGATAATCATGGGTTCCAGGTCGACGATGCTGTCACTCTCAAAGCGCCACAGGAAGAGGGAGCCAGAGAAGCTAAAAATAGTAACATTGGAGGAGATAATGCTGTTGCTATCCGGATGTGATTCAAACAGCTGCTGCTTTAGATTCTGATTACCTGTTTCTTGTTTTATCTAACTAGCTCTCTCTATCAAACTAATTTCTTTCTTTCTTAATCCCCCCCCCCTTTCCACTCTCTCTTCTCCCCCCCTCTC